GGCGTTTGACACCGTGGATCACAAAATTCTGCTCTCTAAGTTATCAAAGTATGGGATAGGAGGAACCCCTCATCAGTGGTTTACATCATACCTAACTGATAGGATACAATACTGCCAAATCAATGGTTCCAGTTCACAACAAAAGAAGGTTCAGTGCGGTATTCCCCAGGGTTCGTGCCTTGGGCCCCTCCTTTTCATCCTATGCGTAAATGATTTTGAGCGATGCTTAGAGAAAAGCTCAGCAAATATGTATGCAGACGACACTAGCATAAAATGCTCTGCAAAAGACATTGAGGAACTGTGCAATGACTTAAAAACTGAGGGTAAGAACATTGCAGAGTGGATGCGGCAAAATAAGCTTAGTCTGAACACCAATAAAACTGAATATATGGTCATTGGTCATAAAAGACGAATTAACCATATCCAGGGGGAGATAAACGTGGAAATAAATGGAGAAAAAATCCAACGAGGCCATGAAGTAAAATATCTCGGGGTCACTATCGATGAAAACCTATCTTGGAACAAGCAGTACAAGAGGCTCAAGTGTAAACTTAAAAGTGGTCTTTCTTCTTTGAGGAAACTTAAAAACATACTCCTACAGTCGAAATTGGACCAGGTTTACAGGGCACTTTTAGAGAGCCATCTAAGATACGGTGATGAATTATGGGGAAGTCTGTCCGCTACAAAGCTTGAACATCTTCAGCGTCTTCAAGACAGGGCTCAAACATTAATTGAAAGTGCTAAATTTGAGGACGGGTGGATCTGTAAATGGATTTAAGTTTCGAAACTAATTAAATATGACAGGGCCATAATGACGTACAAAATTATGAATGGTCTTTGCCCTGACAGCCTTAAAGGTAAATTTATTACTAGATCAGAGATATCCAGGTATTTGACAAGGAGTCAGCTTGATATTGACATCCCAAGGCAAAATTTGGAATTCTAAAAGGGAAGTTTCTTTCACTCTGGGGCTAAAACATGGAATGAGATTCCAAGAAACATCAGAATGAACCCCACAATGTCCATGTTTAAAAGAAACTTGAAAGGATTCCTGCAAAGTTAATAAATTCCCTAAACAAAACACGATCCCTAGGTAGAACAGCAACATCTTTATTTTATATATATTAAAGAAGTAATTGTAATAGAAGTAGTTTATTTTATTTGTATTATGGCTGATAGGAAATTCGTGCGTAAAGATTTTTGAAATGAAAAAAAGGCCCTATTTCAATTGGTTCTTGCACATCACATGATTCGTTTGAACAAAAGAATAACGCAGGCAGCCGCAGGCAAGGCGTTTCCATTTGTAATTTGTCTGCCGGCGGTACTGGGAGACTGCCGTAAGAGCCGGGAAAAGTTGAACTCGTTCAACTTTCTCCCGGCCCTCACGGCATTCTTACGGCACTTCAAACAGCTGCCTGCGGTACCGTGAGAAAGCGTTTCCATAAAAAATTATCTGCCGGCGATACCGTAGGGATGGAAGATGGAACATGGCAGAAAGCAGTCGCAGGCAGCCTTACGGCTATATGGAAACCAGGCTTTAGGCCGTAGCTTTGCTACACTTCCGGAAAAGAGCTGTGAATCAGTGAACGAGTCAGCGCTATTGTCGTCCCAATGAAACTCGAAAGCATCCGCAACGCCCTTTCTCTATCATTTCTTTGACCAGGCTTTTTTTGCCATAAATATTAAAGCAATGTTTCTGTTCATGCCTCCCGTAATACCAACGAGAGTTGCCGCAAATCCCAAAAGCCTATGCCAGTTCCCTATCCATCAATTTCCCTGAATTTTTATTGGCTATTTCGTCTTGAACAGTGCTCAGATGACGTTGAGCACCGGTGAAAAAGCAAATGATTGGATAATGCTGGATCTGAGCACCGGTGAGAAAAGAGTTGATTGGCTAGCTTCGTTCGTGACAATTCTAATTTACGAACCCACCGGTGCTCGGAATAGCATGGAATAATGGGATTTCATTGGAGGATGATTTTGTCATCCGCAATCTAATTGGTCAGCACTTGCATTCTACCAGAATTTCGTTCCGGTGAACATGCCACAATTGTAAACATTAACGCGATAAAAGAAAGTTCTTTAGATAAAAGGATATTTTTCATGCAAAATAGATGAAAACATCGAATCAGTAGAAATCTTTAGCTTTTTTCGGAAACACGCACAGGAACAGGTACAAGAAACAGTACTTTGAAAATCTGACCGGTGCTCAAGCACCCTTTGCACCCCCCTGGAGCCGCCACTGCTCCGAATCTCCTTGAATTTAACTAGCTACGTATATTTATATGTACAAGGAAAATATCAGAAAAGCATAAAATGTTACCCAATATAATTAATGACTACACAACATGATGTAATCCTAATGAGTGGTAATCCTACGGAAAGGGAAAGTATAGCCTCTCGCAAGAAACCGTCATTCTTTAAAGTATCAGTCTTTGGATCATCTCTTGCGATTTTAGACCTCCATTAAAAAACCCAGCTGTATGGGTGGCACGGTATTCAAGTTAATATTTTATCATGTTACTCCAACCTCGCCCCCCCGGGAATGGAAGGATTTGACGAATGTCTCTCCAAATGCGTGAGGAAATACCCTGCTTCAGTGGCGTGGTGGCAGGGGCCATGGCCACCCCTGAATGTGGGCGCGATTGGAGATAAGGGGCGCCAAAATTGTTTGCTTGTAAAATCTGGCTAATAACATCAAAATTTATCGTACACGGGTACAACACTTCGCAGTAACTTTCTGTGAACAACCTAATGGAACGTGCGATTCTACAATCGAAGCACGTTGTTGCGTTGCCATGACCCAATCAACATTTGTGACATATGTTGCTCCCTGTTGTGGTCAACACAGAGGATGTGTATATTTCCTAGCTGCAGCTTCGAAGCCTGCTCTTAACATCGATGAGGCGACATAAGCCAAAAAGAAAATAAGAAAGCGGAAGTAGGTTGTTAAGTTGTTGGTTTAGAATGAAGTGGATTTAAGTGAAGAAAAGTACATCAAATTGGGGGAACCGAATATTAAGCCCACCGAATTTCTTGGAAACCGAGATTTTTTGTTATCGAAATTAGGCTTGCTGACAACGCTAGAAAAAACTCGTTTTGCACCGATTGACTTTCAAACTAGCAAACTTGATATTTTTTACATCCATTACATATCTTTTTTCAGTTTTTGGCTCTCCTTCGTCATCAACAAATAAGATATCCAGCTCATTTTTAACTATCTTCTCTTTCGCCCTCTACATTCAACAAATTTGAGTTCTCTTTCTCTTAATTATTTCTTTCTAACGTTCCAGTTGTTTCAATTTCAATGCCTCGATTTTTAACCCTAAGTTGATCAGAATTTCTAATCCCCTCCTAGAATTGAACCGTCGAATTATCAATTCTGGGCGGTATAGAATTTTGTTAAATTTTAGTCTGGGCGATGCATTTTTAGCCATTCTAGAAGGCTTGATATCAAAAAAATTTTTCCCTTATTACCTAACAAAGGTGGATCCTCCTATGTCACTAACCTTGATTCATAGACCCCCAGATTAAATTTCAATAAAATCGCCCACAAGCAGTGCCCCTAATGGACTAAGGTTACCTTTAGTTAGGAAAACTAAGATGCGCCAAAATAGAAATGTTATTTTACTCTGAGGTTGGTATTCTGGATATAATAAACAAGTGCAAGGGGCCGCCAGCCTTGTATAAACACATCAATGTAAATGAATAGGATGTTTTTTTATTAGTATTTTATGTTTTGCCTATCATATTATTTCCGCGAAAATAGGCCGACCCTCGAGAATATGCCAGTTTGGCTGGATATTTTGGCGAACCACGATCGAGAAGGTCATCTTAACTTTTGTACTGATTGCATAATTTTTTCCATTCATACTCGCATTTTTCGTCAAAACCCATTCATGAAATGTTATTTTAGTCAAAACCTATTCAAAAGATTGATTTCTTTTCCAGAAACACGTGCTTTTATATAACTACGATATATAGATAGGGCGCAGAAATCGACTTGGCCACCCCAGGGGAAACATAGCTGTAATAGGGTTATTTTGCCAAATAAATGTATCCACCCTATTATTATCTTCGAGACTAAATGGTTCTTCCATCCACGAGAAAAGAAACAAATAGACGCAATGATAATGTTCAAACGTCTTTCTTCAGATCAAACGATCTTTCCGCGATAAAAGGTTCTATAAATATAATGTTTCTCTACGGTTGTCCCGTAACGTCGATTCGTTCTCTTAATGTCAGGCACAGTCTTTCTCAAGCACTGTCCTCTCAAATATGTCAAATAATCCACAATAATCGTCACGCGCGATGTCTTAAATAGCCATACGTATCCTATAAATCCATAATTTATGCCGACAAGATCTTTCACAAGCATCTTGCCACATTTATAAAACGTCGAGAACCTAAATATACAAAATATCAAAACTTAACCCTATCGCTCTTAACCGAATTCCATTTCCAACTTCAACTCCAACTCCAACGAACTCAAAAACTAACTCTATATGTAACACGCCCAAAATATAACTAAACAAGAACTTATTGTAGTGCTACATAGCTATGTAAATTTACATAATAATAGTGAATACAAAATATATTTCTCCCAAGAATACTAAAAATGATACTAAAAATCCCAAAAGAAATTGTTAATGAATCTAAAGGTACAATTAGATAACAAAAGGAATTATAAACAATCGAATGTGCGAATGGTGATAAAATTACTAAGATTACAGGATGCAAAACAAACGAAATCCAAACTAGCACTATTACATAGCCACCCCGCCACTGCCCTGCTTTATATGACAAGATATATTCTCCGTCAGATATTCTCATCTCTCCTAACAAATTTTCAAATGCTCCTTGTTGGGCCCTCCTTCGAAAGATTTATTTTGTCCAAATTGATCTCTTACGGCTTTTTTTTCTCATTTTTGTCTTCTTCTTAAATCTAAAAGTCAAATCAAAACTAAAAGAAGCACTGCAGCGTGAATTCATCTTATCTGGTCCATGCTTAGACACAAATAGACACCGTGTGAACGCGCACACACATTTCAGTTAAGCGCCTCTAGACTGACGCCATAGGCGCAGATAGACACCGTGTGCTATGCGGAAGTCGTTGCATCTCCCATTCAGTACTTGAGGATCCTAGGGGTCCAGGGATCCTAGGTTCTCAGGGTCTGGTTTTTCCAGGATGCCATTCAAGTAAGCTAACAATACACATGACAATAGGTTTTCGTAAATAGAGCCACGTGTGGACAAATAACGATTCAATTGGTGCTAATATGCCCCCGGATATTTGCTTAATGTCTGCAGGGGGTACTGTTTTGACCTGTCTCCGTCCTCGAAAACGGCCAGATTTTATATCAGGTCATCGTGATAAATACGAGTGTCGTGATCTTTCTGAGTGGTGTTTAATCGTAAGGGCAGTGGATTTACAGTCATCATGGGCCTAAAATTTGAGTTTGCTACAGAGCCTTTTCTTTTTCTGTTTATGTTTGCCCTTGGAGGAAACTTATCGCTTCTTCCTCAACTGACAATCGCGAAAATCTGCCACAACAAATTCAATTCTTCCGTCTGCAGCAAACTTGGCCAGAAAGCGTTTAAAGATGAAGAAAACTATATTTACAGCCAAGCAGCTACGTGGAACACGATTATATTTCTATCAGTATATGTGCCATCCTTATTTACAATTCTTCCAGTCGGAGCCATATCAGATATTATAAGTAAAAAGAAATTATTACTGCTTCCTCCAATTGCGACTGTTTTGCAATGTGTTGTCTACATTTGCTGTGCCCGTTATAAAGAATTGAGCGTTGGTTATCTTGCTGTTGGTTCCTCGATCACTTGCATTTACGGTGATATCCAAGGCGGGATCATGCTTAGCTACTGTTACATGACAGGGGTCACTGGAAATGACCACCGCCGAACCTGGCGTATGGCCATACTAGAAGGATCGATATTCATCGGCCAAGGACTCGGTAGTTTCGTGGCAGGTATTTTGCTCGAAAAGTTTGGATTCACTGTCGCCTTTTTGTTTCCTGCTTCGATAGCTTTCTTGAATTTCGCATTTGTCCTGTTTTTGTTACCGAATTTGCCCTCATCAAGTAACCATAGCTTGACACATTCAAACACGGAAATCGATGGACACAAAGATGAAAGTTTTTGCCTGCAGTTGGGGTCAAACCTCAAAGATATTTTCAAGAAAATCGCAATGTTTGCAAAGAAATACTTATGTTCATCCGGAAAGTTGGTAGTGCTTTTGCTTCTAGCTGCGTTTTTTGCCAATGGGGCGATCTTAGGTGAAAACGTATTGATCACGTTTTTTCTAAAACACAGCCCGTTGAGCCTTGATGCCCAGGAAGTTGGACAGTATTTTCTGATCCTGCATTGTACACGGGGTATTGGTATATCATTTCTTGCGATCATAAGTGCAAAGTTTTTCCGCCCATCAGATTACATCGTCACCATTTTAGGTCTTCTCAGTTTAATTGCAACCCATATCTCACTTAGTTTTGCTAACACGAAGCCAATGTTATACGGGCTCTCGGTATTATCATTTGCTTTCCCGTATGCAATGTCAACCATTCGTGCTCTTTTAACAAAGCTGGTCTCGCCCGGAGATGAAGGAACTGTGTTGTCGTATGTTGGTTTCATAAGCTTGATTGCAGTCAACATCATGACATTTGCAGGGAACAGTTTGTTCAAAGCTACAGCCAAAATTTTTCCTGGTTTTAGCATTCTTATGCTCTCCTGTTCAAGTATAATGGCTCTTGTTCTGGTGACGTCAGTGTGGTGCATTGCATCTCATGCAGGCAGAGGTTATGAGAAAAATGAAGGAACAGAATTGAATGATGAACAGTGCAAGACGGAAGAGGACCCATTGATCGAAAAATGTTCACAGTAACGTTGTCTTTAAATTAAACTTGTTTCTTCATGGGAAATAAGTAAAAGAAATTGTTTGATTTGCAGTGATGACAGGGTAATGACAAAGATATGTTGCTATATCATTATTTTGTTAACAAAAGATCTGACTTAAGGTCAGGAATAGTTCCAGAAATTTTTAAATTAAGAAAGAAAGGGGGGAGGGGGTTAAAATTTGCTGCAATACAGTTTAATCCCTACATAACCCTATTATGCTCTCTTATTGAGATTTTCGTGTGGTGTTAGGCTAGTTTGCTTTTGTCGAGCAAGCTTCAGCCCTTGCATGATTTCAAATATTATATTTTTGTCAAAATTTAGTATATATTGTAGATCCATGGGTGAAGGATTCAATAACCCATGTGGAAAAGGCTGGGATGAAGCCCAAACCTGCAGAAAAACCATGGCAGTATAAAAAAGTTAGAATTTTCTTTCCAAGGCAGATTGGCATTGCATAAAACTTGTTCAGATTGATTTGCGATTACACTGTGCCACACAAATTTTCTCCACTTTTTCCTCCCGTTTATACTGTGTCAGGTAACTGCAGTCACATGACCTAAATCATGCACAGAACGCCCAAAACGAAGTCTTCTTTGGGCAACAAAGTAACAACAAAATTTCTGCCAATGTAAAAAGGCTTATCATTCTATCTTCAGAATCATCTGCTTCTCTTGCAGATGAAGTCCGAAGATTTTTTCAAAACAAATTAGGCAAAGTTAGTTTTAATAATTCATTCTTTGAAACAAAATGACCCTGAAATAGCAAAGAAAGTAGGGAAAGCTGACAAGGATGCCAATTCTATGTGGACTGACGAAGATGCTGCACTTATAACACGATTATTTATCAACTACAACAAAGCCAAGATGGCGAAAGGTCTTGATTCGGTTACAGTGAAAACAAAATAGGATTTTGTTCGTATAGCCGCTATCAAATTCGTGCAAAAACGAGGCCTGTCTGAACTAATTTTGATGAGGATAAAATTTATCCAGCACAATGTAAATGGGGTCTTAAACACCCATGAACACTCCTAAGATAAATGCTCTTTTGTTAAGAGTTAATGTTTTTTCTGTTTTTGTTCACCCACATGTAAAAATTCGCCAAACAGTTAAAAATAATATCTAGTATGCTATTTTGTATAGAACAGGATGATTCTGAGACTCATGCTTAACCTGATCGTTGCCTGACTAGAAACAGTATTTTTTTATAAAAACGATATTTAAGTATTGGGTTGATATTTAAAGTACATATGGTAAAATTTGTTCAAATTTAGTAATACAGATAGACATTTATGAATAATTATAACAACTAACTTGAGTGGTGGTGGATTTTTTGTATTTTTATAGAAAGTTGAATTTTTTTTTAATTATTTAAGGTGATGGTACATAGAAATATTCTCATATTTTTGTGAAAAAGATATATCTGTTTTGGTTCATTCTTCAAGATCTCATACAAACAGAAAGGCAACACAGAAATTGTTTTTTTAATAACTGAACTTAAATTGAAAAATAGTTACAACAATTTACAAATTGGTTTGCCGCAATAACAGTTTTATATCTAACGAAAACAAAGTGTATATTATATAGTAAAATAAATAGCTTTCAAAACATTTCAATAACATGCAAGCAAGCTCAATATTACAATTCTTCAATTTAAATTTATTTCCAGCATATTTCAATAATTATTTTTCTATCAATTTTCCAAGCAGCAACTTTTGCAGCAAAATATATGATATTTCTGTCCATTTATCAGAAAAAGATTGATTGTTTGTGCCAACCAGCATGCAAAGGTATTGGTGTCACAATACACTGTCATGAAAAGGATATGTTGCTATGTGAAACATTACACTGGGAAATAATGGGACTTTTTCTAATTTTTGACTCAAACTTTGAAAGTGAAAAAGATCTATATTTTTTGGTTCATACTTCAAGATTTCATACGGACAGAAAGGCAACACAGAAATGGTTTTAGCAATAACTGGACTTAAATTGAAAAATAGTTACAACAATTTACAATAAGTTTGCTTCAATGACAGTTTTATGACAGATTAGTTTGACAGATTCAATGACAGATTAGTTTAGCTTGCAATATAGGCCTATATTTGAAAAACTAGGATGCATTGGCATGAGGATAAGGTCTCTGCTTGGAAAATTGAAAGAAGGAGAGCAAGCAGGGGCTTAGCTAACATTGGCTGTGGGGGGTTTGCCATATGTCATTTACAGTTTGAAGGTAAATATGTAGAGGCTGTGCGAACCTCTTGAACATGACTTAAATAACTTACCTTTACATAGGACTAAATGCAAATACTACAATGGGCATTCATTGAGTCAAAGACACCATTAAAATATTCTATGATAATTATGCTCTTAGATAAATACTGATTTCATGAGGAGTTATATTGCAAACATGTAGTTGCCAAATCTACAAAGTATAAAAATGAAATTGAATACGCTTTTTTTCTGCAAAACTTCACAATGACTCAAAAAAGTAAAAACATAACACATGGTACCTATTAAAGTATAATTTTTGACAATCTAAATGAAACATCCAAAAATACCTATTTTATGGCAATGTCAAGTGAAAAGTATTATTACCATGGAGCAATTTCCACTTCTCCAAGCCATCTTGAGATTCATAGTGAGCAGGAAAAAAAAGAAGCTAAAAGCCTGCCAGGGATCCAGTTGATTTGAGGGTCATACAAAATGGCTACTAAATGACCCAGTTTCGATAATAACATAATGCTTAGTTTAGATTGCAATTTATTATAGAAAATGAACAAGATTTTATCTTTCCTTAAATGAACAAGATTTAATAAATAACAGTCAATGGGGAAAACAATTTGAAAAAGTAGGACCTGTTGATCACAAAGACATGGATGCCAACAAGGACATAATTTCTGTTCTAATGCTATGATATGAGGGTTATTGTCAAAAAAGACTACCATTTGAGGGTAATTCTTTAATATTTTAGCTTTGACCCTCTTTGACCCTGACTGGACCCCCTGTTAGACCATAATCTAGTACCCCCCTGGTGCTTAACACTATTTGTTAAATTGGAAGAATGATGCTACAATTTGAGAACATTTAAGACAGTCATGTTACTTTAGATGCAATTTTACTCTTTTTGTTGTGGAATATTAATTCATCTTTCCCTAGTTTGCTCTTAGCTTGCTGAAGATAATGCATAGAGCCTGTATAAGAGACTTAAAGCCTCTTAAACGAAAAAAATCTTGAACAAGAAAACAAATTACTGATAATCAACCAGGCATATATTGTGTACTTGCACCAGCTTCACTTTTTCAAGATTTTTCTTAGTTCTTTGCTGGAACTTTCCACCCTGTCGTCTACCCTTGTCGTTTTGTATGTCACCCGATCAATTATGTCATCATGCCTATCGAGGGTATTCCCCATCAACAAAGCATGTCCCTTGAGTTCAGAAAGTCCTGACATCATAGAGTCCAAATTCTTATCAAGTTGGACATTTACATTAGACGGCTGCGAACCAAAGACATCTTTCTTTTCCTCCCATCCAATATTAGGCCCTTTTGTTTGTTGACGAATTTTTTCCGTAGTTGTCACTGTGGGGTTCTTTTCAACTCTCTTCTCTTTATGTGGCACCTCTATCGCCTTTGTTTGCACTGGTTTGCGAAAATAGTTTCCTATAGTACCCCAAATACTTTTAAGCGAAGTCAGCTGTCGGTCAGCAACATCCAAATCACCATTAATCTTATCCAAAGTTGTTTCGGTTCTCAAGAGAGACTCTTCTTGACGAGCAAGTTCTTCTTCAGTTTTACAAGCAACATCTTTCGACTCTTCGATAAGCCGCATTGACCTTTGCGTGCTATCAAACATACGTTTTTCATAAAGCTGCTTTTCATGTTTTATTCTTGATAGTTCAGCTGAATGAATTTCCTCAAAATCATCCTCTTCAAACGGGTTACTGCTGCTCGTTCCGAAATCCTTGGTGTCTCGCCAAGCGGCCATCTTGATATTTTGAACGGCAGTTGAAATGACTAATGATAGAAGCGCCGAAGGCGCAACGAAGGCGCTAGATGTCTAACTCACAGGTCCGCTGTGAGGCAAATTTTTTTACTTCCGCCATTCTGAATAGTGGCAAAAAGGAACTTGCTCCATACTGAGCCCTTATAAATTTGGTAAAAGTAAAGATTTATTTCGTTCACTTCTCTTTCGAAAATCGATGTGAAATTTGGTGAGTGGCCTTATTTTGCACTTAAATTTATGAATTGATGTTAATATTGGAAGAATAAGCCGTCATTCGCAAATTCCAAGCATTTACAGTAGCGGTGCTTGCTGTGGTGCCAGACTGTAAAGTACTTTTTCTACGCAGGGAATGCCAGAAAAACAATTTTGAAATTTGCGGATAAAACACTTCCCCCAAAATCATGCACAGAATTTGAAACAAAGACTTTCAAAGAGACCTTGTATTCGTTGTTTTTTCTTGTTATCAGAAGTTTAAAGGGCCTCTCCAGCCAAAAAAAAATTTATTAGCATCTGGTGCGTTTATTATGAAAAAATTGTTGTTTTTGCAAAATTCTAATTAGTTATAAGACTTTAAAGTAACACTTTTCAGAGAGAAAAATGACAAAAGCCGAATCAGTTTGGTGACATTCTGACGTCACAATGTGCTGCTATCGTTCGCCATGAAATTCGTATATAGGAGTCATGGCTGGCTGAAATTTTGAAAACAGCTTGTCCCCTCTGGCTACAGTTTTTGCAAATGATATTTTGAAAATTTGGCATATTTATAATTCCATGACCTTGATTTTGTCCAAATATATTTGTTTGTTATATATCTGTTTTCTTGTTTTAAAGCCTGCCCCCCTGAGGTATGGTTCTTGCTCGAGTTTGCCCCCCCCCCTAGCCAACACCTACAGCTACGTGGTTGGTTCCAGCTCTTCCCTCGCGTGTAATTAATCGAAATTGACACTTCAGTTGCTCTCCAGAAACGATGAACAACTAAAGGCTTCAGAATTGGTGTCTGAAATGCTCAAACTAAAAGCCAGTGGAACAGAACTGGCTACAAATGGAGAGTATCATCACTTGCAGTGTTAAATTTGCGAATCGCCGTAGTTCGATTCGGTTTGAGGCGAGACTAACGAAATGCACAGTGACGTCAAAATTGCGTCACAGTGTCACCAAACCGAAAAATTTTTGTCGGTTAATTTTAATTATCGAAATGCAAGAGCTTATATCTCACAAACTGTAAAAACTATCGAAAAACAAAGAACGATTTGAGGATCAGCAGGTTCAACTCCTTTAGATTAGCCAATAAAATGCAAGTGCAAAATTTTGCTGGAGAGGCCTTTTAAGCTTCCTTTTGACAATAATATGTGGTCACCAAAAACCCTCAGTTCTTAAGTTTGATGTCATTATACTTTTTCATTGATAATGGGATTGATTTGATCAATATTGCCAGTTATAATAATTCAATCAAGATTTTATTACGACTTACAACTGAATACAAGACGAGTGACAGACTAAGACCGAGATGCACACAAAAAAGCTTCTTCCGAGTACTGAAGTTTCTTAATTTTTTCTGACTTTCCAGTACTTGTTTCTTATAGCCAATTTCTTATAAAAAAATGAGCGTATTCCACGAATGCGCTTTTTAGATAATTTCCAAACTCAAACAAGAAACAGAAAAGCTCTCTTCTTCAAACAAACTCCTTTGCTAATCGTTAGTTTAGCTGATAATATTTGTTCATTTGAGTTTACATCGTGTAGTATTGCCCTTTTAATTCATAATTTGTTTGTTACTTCGGGTGTTAAAGTATATATAAAGCATAGAAATGACTTCAAAATGTCTGCTGAAAATGCCAAAATTTAAGTGGTAGGCCAAAAACAAATTTTCCACTTTGGTAAAGGCCTAAATTGGAAAATTTTGCCTAAAAGAAATGCCAATCTGGCAACCCTGTATTTAATGCTTAGAAATCTTTGAAAACAGGTGAGTGCTCTCGCCCCCGCAGGGGGTGTGCTCCCATTTAGGCCTGACAGGGGGTCCTGTCGATTTGAGAGTATTGCCAATGTTAGAGTACCTCTCATTGATTAGCCAAACTACTGAGATCTACATTTCTAGATAGACATCTAGATTTCTATAGTAAAGCTACATATGATAAGTGTTTGATAAGTTAGAAATATCATTAATTTTTTGTAAACTGCATGTACACAGCCGCTTTAATTGTGTTATGTTAATAGCTATGTCAATAAGCGATTCTGTTTGCAGATGTAGCATTTTATATAAGACATTTTCCTGCAAAAAGCTTCTATCGTTAATTCTTTAGATTGCTTTCCCGGTGATCTCGCCACTCGGGTATCTTACATTTGGAAGTAGCAGC